GTCTGCTTCTCCCTCTGACCCTCCCCCCTCTCATGTGCTCTCTCTCTCTCATTCTCTGTCTCAAATAAATAAATAAAATCTTTAAAAAAAATGCAAATTAAAACTACAGTGAGATACTATTTCTCAACTATCAGATTGGCAAAAATCTAAAAGGTTGACAGCAAAATGTGTTGACAAAGTAGTCAGGAAACAAACACTTTTATTTTTTGCTGGTGGAAATGCAAAAATGGTCTAATCCAAGGGGAGAGAAATTTGGCAATATCTAGCAAAATTGCATATACATTTACCTGTCCATCCAGAAATCCCACTTCTAGGAATCAAGCCAAAAAATACACTGACAAAAATACAAAAAGACAAATACATAAGGTTACTCAAGGTAACCAATGTTACTATTTGTAATACCAAGAGCCTGGAAACAACCCAATGTCCATCCATAACAGAATGATTTCATAAACTAGGACCCATTCACATACTGGAATACTACACAGCTCTAAAAACAAATAAGAAATATCTGTATACACTGCTATGACATGATCCCCAGTGAAAAAAAGCAAGGTGGCAAAACTGAAGGTAATATATTACCATTTAACTAGAGGGGCAAGAGGAGATGAGTATACCTTATATTTTTCGAAGAATAGATAAGGGTTGCCTGGCTGGCTCAGTCAGTACAACATGCGACTCTTGGTCTCAGGGTCATGAGTTCGAGTCCTACCTTGGTCATTGAGATTACTTTTTTAAAAAAAGGAAATAGAAAGATAAAAACAAAGTTAAAAGAACAATTGAAGGGACGCCTGGATGGCTCAGTGGATTAAGCGTCTGCTTTCGGCTCTGGTCATGATCCCAGGGTCCTGGGATTGAGTACCACATTGGGCTCCTTGCTCAGCCGGGAGCCTGCTTCTCCCTCTGCCCCTCCCCCTTGCTCATGTACGCGCGCGCGCGCGCGCACGTGCTCTCTCTCTCTCTCTCACAAATAAGTTTAAAAAAAAAAAAAAACACACCCTAGGCACGCCTGGGTGGCTCGGTTGTTTAAACATCTGACTCTTGATCTCACCTCAGATCTTTTTTTTTTTAAAGATTTTATTTATTTATTTGAGAGAGCGAGAATGAGAGAGAGA